CAGGTTTGATGAATGAAATGGGAATTACTGACTATAAACCCGAACAATGGCGTCTCTTTACTTACGCATCAAAGCGAAGTTTGAAAGCAGTCTTGCTCTATCGCGATAGTAGCAAGAAACCCGTTCCTATCTTGTATGCGGTTGGAATAAAGGAATCATACGAAACAATGCAATTAATCTTAGATTGCATCAAGTACAAAGAGCACAGGTGGCGCGTGAACTGAGATTTTAAAGTTCTCTCACTACTATCTGGCATGCAAACGGGCTACGATTGGTCAATTCAATATATGTAGTTCACGAGCCCATGATAGCGCTTAATAAAATCATGGTTCCTGATTTACATATCAAACTTGGTGTTGTTAAGAACTACATCAAACAGTTGGTTAGAGTCAACGAAACTACATTCCTATATTTGAAAAATAATGCCTTTCCAAAACTTTCCATTGAAAAAATCCGTGAAGGTAGTTTTTTGATTGTATATGAGTGAAAATCTCTTAAGTGGTTGTAAACCGAATAAAGTGATTTCTGCGAAAATATCTTGACCGTCCAATTTTGGGTGGCCCATTTGAGAGATTTTCGCACATATAATTTATTATATCTCTCTCTTGCTTTAAGAACCCTATAATTTTTATTTCAGGTGTGCTTAATGGGCCGTACATCAGAAGATTAATGAAGGATCAAGGCTTCTTGGAAATTCTTGATGGCACAGCAGCCGTTGCATTGGATGCAGTTCGGGCTTTAATTAAACACGTTCTGTGTAAAAATCGTTCACCAGGATATGCCATTTTTATTGCGAACTTGATGGAATCTTTTGACAACTTTGATGTGCACATGTCGCTTAATATCTACATGCTACACAGTCACTTTGACTTTTACGAGCAACTGATTTCAACAGAAACCGACGATTTAGGGGAGAGATTTCACCAATCTATTATGTGTTTTGAGGACCGATTCGCTGGAAAACGATTGACTTAAAAAAATCATTCGAGCAAAAGAAACTAGCAAAATATGCCAAAACGGGATTGAAGAGAACCCAAATTTAGGTCCAAATAATATATAAACTAATATTATAAAAAAATATTACGAAATTAAATATGAGTTGTAACCCAAAACCACATATCTGAAATAGGTAAGGTAATATCAAAATACAGTCACGTGCGAAATTTCAGTAAAATAACCTTAAAACTGAGGTAGTTATTAACAAAAAACCTAAAATTTAAGCAGATTTTTAAGCACCGTTATATCGAAAACTAGAGCCAATCTGGAAAAACGGAGGACGCCAGTGAATTTAGAAGATCCCAGTTAAGTAAGATCAGTTATCAAAACCTTTGCCCAGAATAAAATTCAAAACCTGAGCACAGTGTTTTAAACGACGAAAAATTCACTTTCAGAACTCTAAGACTTTCCCCCTAAATATCTCAAAATTTTGATGTGATACGGATTTCCTGAAAACACCATCATAATCTAGAGGCCAAAATTAAATTTACGTGTTTGGCGGTTTAGCTGTGATATTTCAAAACCTAAAAATTTACCTACAGTGTTATTGGCAAATCAATGGCTGCTTAATAAAAATGTGTAATATATTAAAGCGTACTTAATCAAAAGTTTTTTATTGTATATTCAGTAATTCATTTTATTTTTTTCTTCCAAAGTAGTGGTTTTGATCTATAATTGGACTAGTATTTTTCTGTCTATTTTGAACTAGTATGAGACAGGTATATTTCTGACCGAAATCTGACAATTGCCATCTCGTAGGACATCCCCATGTTAAAAATACCAGTTGATTGCATGGAAAAAAGATAGTTGGCTGACTGAATTGGGCATGTGGTTCATACTAGTTGCGAGGTAGTTTACAACTAGTCCATTTGACCACAGGGGTCGATTAGTAAATGGAATATGTAAAATGTAATTGTTTTTGGGACCTAAAAATGTTGCATAACAAGCCAATAATTCAATTACTCGTTTTCTTTTGCTTTGTTAACTCCGTTAAATTAACTGATTTTATGAATGAATACATTTATTTGTAATTTTTTATGGAATTGGCATAGGCATAAGCATCGGCCAATTCTTTCCCCATAAGCCGATCAATCGGCATCGGCATCGGTATCTGAAAAAAAATATTGGAATCGGTCGGACTCAAGGCACATTAAGCAGGTAGTATCAGTAGAGCAAAAACAACATTTGCGTGTATTTTGTTGTTGCTTCTGGTATCGAAAGTGTCAAAAACTGTTCTGAATTTTTTCTTCTAAATCAAAGCGTGCCATGTGAAATACAAAAAATTATAAAAAATAAAAAATTGAAATTGGAAAAAATAAAAATTGATGCAACTTTCTTTCCTAGTAAATTTGTTTGCTTCTCGAAGCATTGATCCATCCTTTACAAGGGCCAGTAATCAGCGGTTGTGCTGCTGAGTTGGGCGAACGTTCCAAAAGCAGCTATTCAATCGCTTGTTTTGTATGGAAAAAGGTTTCACATGCAAATGGATTTTAACAATTCAGAATTTTTGTGAGAAAAAATTAAATATATTTGACATTTTCGAGACCAAATAATTTGAAAATAAATCAAATCAGCTGCTCTACTGATACTACCTGTTCAATGTACCTTGGTCGGACTCTAAATAGAAAAATATCAATATTATGTAAAATGTAAATATTTAAAGAGTTCTAAATTTTTTACAACGAGATGTCTAAATTTTTTTCTTGCCAAACATTTTGCATTCTGAAAGGTATTGTACTGGGACCGGGAAATATTTAGCTCTTAAATCCGGGACCGTTCCGCCGAAAACGGGACGGTTGGCAACCGTGATTGGAATCCGCAATCAAATTTAAATTTTTGCTAAAATACTTTTTGAAACACGCCCATATTTTTGAAATTTTATTTTTTTATAGTGAATTAAACAAAGACTAGAGTGCCAGTTACTGTCGAAATTCGACAGTTTTTCTAGTTTTAGAAGCCTTGGAGAGGTTTTCTAACTTAACACGTAGCAAAACTTATACGGTACAAATTAACTAACCGGAAAATCTTCTGCTAAAACGTAACTAAACTTTTTTTATCTGAGAAGGTCTTTGGAGGACTTTGGCAGGACTTGGAATTGACATGATACATTCAAGTTTATCGATAAACTTCAATGATTTGATATGAATCAATGTTGAAAGTCAAGAACACTAAAATTCGATAACTCAACAAAATTCGTTAAATCGACCAATTTAGATAACTGTGAAATTCGATGGCTCGATAAATTTCGGTAACTCAAAAATGTAAAAACTTTGGATACCTTTATAAATTTTTGCTTTTGACATCTCCATATTTTTCGAAAACTATCTAAACATTTTGATAACTCGTTACACTCTGTTAAGATGATTAAATTCGATAAGCAGTGATAAATCGATAAGCTTATATAACTTTCGATAAACCGATATATTTTGAAAGTTCCATAAACTTCGCTTCGTTGAACCAACCAATTTCAGTAGATCAATAATTATCGATAACTCTGTAAGTTGAAAGAACTCCATTCATTACGACACCTCGATACATTTCGTTAAGTCTATAAATAATGATAATTCAATAAATATCGATAACTTGATACATTTCTTTAACTTGACAAATTTCGTTAATCCCACACGTTTTTATAGCTCGATAACTAACCGTAAATTTGGACAACTAAGTTTCTGTGTCTATAAATTTCGACAACTAAGTAAACATTGATCAGTTTGAATAATTAGATACGTTGCGATAACTTAATAAGTATGGATAAATTTCGATAATTATAAACTTCGATTGTTCGATAAATTTCAGTAACCTTTATGGCTGATTTTATTTCGATTCCTATCGGAAAATTTAAACTCTATTAACCTAATTCTGTTGTATTTCTCATTGTCTCCATTTTCGCCTTTATCTCTATTTTCGTCTTTATCTTCACTTTTGCCTTCTTTTTTTTACTTCATCGTTATCATTTATTTCTTCATCTTCATATTTATCTTTATTTCAAAGCTTAATTTGAAAGCTGTAGTGAAACAATAGGCGAAACATGTCAAATTGAACATATTGCAGCAACATCTATACACATTTCGAAAATGTTTAAACGACGGGTTTGGCCGTAATTTTCAACCAATTGTTAAACCATAAAAACTCTGCTAGGTTAAATCGCCAAACGAACGGAGACAAAATTTATGTTAGCGTATTAATATATAAATTACGATAGTTCCTTTTTGGTTGTTGTTGTTTCCGACAGGGTGGGTGTATGATGTATTTTGGAACGAATTTCCGTCATCCCTTATCAAATTTGGTTTGGAGATAAACCGGTTTCGGCGTTGTGCTATCTTCAGTGTCATTTTTCGTTTCGTTTCTTTGGGAGAACGAAAAATGACACTGAAGATGGCACAACGCCGAAACACAAGGGACGGAAATTCGTTCCAAAATACATCAGATTACGATAGTCTTAAATTCCTAATTTACTGGTCTTAACTATGCAAATCAACTTCAAAAAGTTCAACTGTTAATAGCTAAGTTAGCTTTAGGACAATCATGACCATCTTATATACATAAAGGAATGTTAAGTATGAGCAGAACCCGAGATATAACGATTTGAAGAAGTACATGAATAGTCAGAATCACGAAAAGATCCAAATTTTGACAGATTATATCTACGAAGAAAGAAAAATAATAAAAGTTCCTCCAATACGTGGCATCTTAAATATTTCATGTATAGAACTCATAAAAAATTTGAAGCGAATCGGAGACATGAAATATTTTGTTTTTTGAAATCCTTCCGATTTAAAAAAGAATGGCCCATATTCTTTCTTTAGCACTCACACCATGAAATTTTCATTTCTGAAATTGTAAAGTAGGTAGATGCTTCTTAGGCGTTTACGTTTTGGTGTCCTTTCAGAGAAAAATGCGCTCAAAATTATTGCATTAGGGCGTTTGACCGCACTTATTATATTGGACGAAATTGTTTAGCTAGAGATAATAAAATAATTTTTTAATCTCATTTCTTACAGATACTATAATGGTAAATCGCGGACTGTGTGCTTCATGTTATGGCCAGATGGTCGTTATCCAACCTCGATAGCGGATTATGCGTACGTATTAAGCTAGCCACAAACGTTAAACATGTGCACGAACACTCGTGTAAGTATGCTCGGTGAGCGATTCATACATATGTGTGTATTAGGGATGCCAAAATATCAGGAAAATTAGGATCCCGGGATTTCGGGATATTTTTTAAGTAAACCCGGTCAAATTGGGGCATAAGTTTTATGAATATGAGTAAAAATTCAATATCTGAAAGCATTTAAACATACCATTAAATAAAACTATTTAAAATTTACGAGAAACTGATTGTAAAACTCATATATCGCTAGCTTAGAGTGAAAAGTTGCTAACTTCACTTTTAATGAAAAATCATATATAGGAGGCTAGATACATTAAAATTGCATCGTTTCGAAAAGGGTAAAGGTCCTTGTTTTATGTGTTCTCGTTTATATTAAATGAAAGGATAATTTGCTAAGGCCAAAAAAAGCTCCGAAAATTCGATAAGGCCAAAAAAGTTCGAAATCTTTTAATAAGTATCGATTCGTATGGAGTTTTGCTTTGCTTTAAACAGGCAAAATGTTGTATTCCAAGTTTTGCGAAATACGTGAAGAAAATGGCTATACGAAGTTTTTTCCTCTCCTGCACAATGTTTAAATTGGGACTTAGCAACTTAAAAAACCATGTGATTGAGGAACGCATACATCACAAATAATAATGTAAATACCAGGTACTATATAAAGTGACGATTAATAAAAAAACATAAAACAAAAATATACAAAAACAGTTTCTCTAAACATGTTTATTCTACTCTATAAAGAAATTGCAAATGGAGAATTTTTTGCCATTTTTTTCGCAATTTACTAGAAATTTTGAGGGTGTACGAGTCAAACGGATCTCAGAATCGGATTCAGCGGGTCGACTTACATGTTGGTAGTTGGGTCTGGTTGAAAACAAACACACCTTTTTTTGCTGTTGTTGTTATTATATTGCACTTAAAATGTTTTCGTAAAAGCAGCAAAGCATTCAATGCGGAGTCTTCTAAGCTTGACCTTCAGTTCTTACATACAAAACCTACTGATGAAAAACATATTTCGGCATCAACACTTTTAGGCTGAACTGTCAAAAGGTAGACATAATCCATTTGAAGATAATGACCCCTATCCCCTCCATTACAAAATATTTGAACATCTTTTTCCAGCACGTCGGTCAAATTATAAGTTTTTCGATTTGAGGAAGTTTTTAGTAGATTGATCTAAAAAATTATCTAACTTTCCTAAAAAAACTCTCTGTTTCGTTTACAATAGCGACGCTATGAGTAAATTCATTGAAATCTTCTTCAAAAAAGGCTCAGACTGCAATTTAAAAGTACAGTTTCAAGCTTTTTGTTAATTGCAGTCAAAACGGCATTTTACAAAATCATACTTCAACAAGTTGTTACTATCAATTCGATATTTCAAAATTTTCGGGATCCCGGGATTAATGCAAGCAAATCGCGGGATTTCCGGGACGTCAAAAACACCGGAATCCCGGGATTGGCATCCCTAGTGTGTATGTATGTGTATTTTTTTGTATGTACCTTAGACCCCCTGCAGAAAAATATTATCACTTAACAAAAAATAACCTACTTGGAGGTAGCTTTTTTTGCGGGATTTCTCTAAAATATATAACTTGTAGTTAGCTACAAAAAGCTAACTTGAAACAAGTGGACAAGTAATGCAGGTGTAAAGCTCGAGATAGTTTTCTTTAATCGCGTTTCTATTTAGATATCCTGCACTTAGCAAATACTTTTTCGAATTGAGGACAAATAAAAGGAAGATAGAAATTTCGTATTATCATTTTGAGGTTATGTCTGACAGAGTTCGAATATGGGACCACCTACAGCAGAATATGTAAACAAATATGAAATATGATAAAATAAATAAATAAAAAACAAAACAAAAAATAAATAAAAATATTTTGTTTTTCCTATTGATATTTTATGCCCAAAAGTGGTTACATAGTTGCAAGTTAGTGACATCAAATGGAAATGACTATTTCGCGGCCATTGCCATAGAAATATAGTTAGCTTTCGTCAAAGAAAATATACAGATAATAAGTGACTTATAGCTCCTTCCTAATCAACTTAGAGTTAGCTTATATTTAGTGATATACATTTTCCGCAGGGCCAGCATCGAGTAGTCTCCAGCCGCAGTGTTGTCAGGTCACTGAAGTGAGAAATCGTCAGTTTGGCTCTCAAAAATAGCTATTTGCATGTAAAAATCGTCAACATATAAAAAATTTAAACAAACAGAACCAGGAAGCTCTTTTGGTTCTTTTCTGATCGATATACGTAAAAATAAAAGGTTAAACGTTTTGTCGAAACTCTTGGCAGCAAGTGCTACTTTGGACTAAGTAGCACATTCCGGAGGAAAGTCCTCTCTCGACGTACAAAACCCGCACTCTATAAGTCACTCATCATGCCCGAGCTGTTATATGGCGCAGAAGCTTAGACAATGACAACATTCGATCAGGCAGCTCTTGGAGTATTCGAGAAAATGATCTTACGGAAGATTTACAGGCTTCTACGCGTGGGCGATGGGGATTACCCTAGACGATGGAACGATGAGTTGTATGAGATTAATAACGAAATATACATAGTGCAGCGAATGAAAATACAGCGGCTCCGCTGGCTTTGACATTTCGTTCCAATAGGAACCGAAGTTCCAGAATTCAACTTGCAATCCGCTGGTGGGAGCAGAGGAATAGGGAGCGCCCACTGCAATGGAGAGATCAAGTTGGCACAGAGAGATATAACTGGCGTTCTTTGTCGAGCTCGTCCAAAATGGCTTAGGCGGTTACAAAGCCAAAGTAGAAGAAGAATATGCATATGATAAATGACGGAGTTGGATACACCAGGAGGAACTAGGAAAATATTCCTTATCAGATTGATCCTGGAAACGGTTCGATCAAAATGTTACATAACCTTAGCTATCGCTTGGTCTGGAATTGCTGCGACACTGTTACCAGGTGGAAGCACTGCTGATTCAGCTCTTAAGCTGCCATTGAACATTTAAATCATCGAAACTCCCACGTGCAATATTTCCAGAACATCCGGTACGTAAAAAATCGCATGAGGTTCTTGATCGATTGTTGCGAGATTTGCGCGGAAACGTTCAACCATTCGGGAATGCATTAATATTGTTCGCAGGAGATTTTACGAAAACATTGTCTGTAATTTCTCGATTAACACTAGCGGGAGGGATAAATGCTTGCCTGAAATAGTCAACAGTGTGGCAAGACGAACATACATACACTGCAGCCGAGATATTATCGCGATAATTACGGACATTGGGAACGGAAAGCTACCAGTCAATGAGAGATTAAGACGAATTTTATTGCCAGATAATTTTTCTGACTTAGAAGTACGAAAGGAGAACTGATCGAAAGAATGTCTCTTAATTAAGAAAATGTATTATAGGAATCACGATTGGCTCAGTGAACGAGATATTCATTCTGCGAAGAATAAGGATGTCTACCAACTAAATAATAGTGGTATTGACAACAGTTGGTGCTTGAGCTAATCTGCTCATTTACCAGACTGCCACGCCCCTTGCTCACTTTGGTGAATACCACTAATGTTCAATAATAATAATATTCAATCCAGCATTCAAAGTGAGGAAATAACATTTACGTCGATAAACACCGTTGTGGCAACGGATGAAGCAGTTAATTATCCAACGGAATTTGTGAACTCGATTGATTTTCTAGCGATGATCCCACATACTGAAATTGAAAAAAAGGTGTGCCAATGATCATGGGTCGGAATATTAATCAGCCAAAGCTCTGCAACGGCACGCGACTCGCAGATAAGAAATTGATGAAGAACATAGTGTAAGCAAAGATTTTAGCGTAGCCCTTTAAAGGTGAAGAATTCCCATGATTCCGAACGATACACCATTTCAATTTATAAGATTGCAATTCCCGTGTCGGCAAACCAGATATCCTTCAAATCCATGCAGAGAATGGAAAACCCACAAATATTATGCACAGAAGTACTAAATAAATCTTATATGAAAGGTATGCTTTGTTTCGTTAATCATTTATCATCCATGTAACTGGAATATGCCACAGCAAAGCGTGGCAGGGTACAGCTTAGGGATGCGCGATACCGATACGATATTCAATATATCAATATCGTTGTTTAACCTATCGGTTAATTTATATCGACATCAGGTGTTGCGATACGATATCGATACACTATTTTGTTTCGATATTTGAAATATCGGAAAATATTCTCCACTTTCTCTAGGCTTCTGAACTGAAAATAAAGTTGAGTACATATGTGTAAATGTGTTCGTTCTCGCAAAACAGCTTTTGGCATAGTAACCATGAATAATAAAATTCATAAAAATATCAAAATTGCTTACATCAGTTTGCAATTCTCAATAAATAAATGCTCGTAAATTTATTTCTTCAAGAAAACCTACAGCAAAGGCAAAATACTTCTTGCATAAAAATAATATTAGCCAACCAAGACAAACCAGAGCTGATGTATGCCAATTTAGGCTTTAGCAGATTCAATTGATCATGAAATTTTGTGTACCGAACAAAAACTTAAAAATTCTGTTTTTGAGGTCATCTGCAAACCCCATTGAACGGTACTATTTGTACTTCACATTTAGAAATACATATGAACGTATTAAAAGGTGTGTCTCTTTGAAAGTACTAGACATGCTTGTGAGGAGGGGTAAATCAAAGTTGCATAACTCTGGTTACTATTTTTTTAAACTCATTTGAGGCATTCACAATGGTGTCGTAAGTGTAGTATTTTTGTATTTCGTAAACTTTAAAAGCTTAAACAAATGTTTAGAGGACTTGAAACGGCAACCAACTATTTTTAACACTGCAACAATTCATAATATAACTTTGATGGTACTTTGCGAACCCCCTTAATATATATTTTTAGGCGTTTAAAGTTTGCGACATACAACAATACGACACTTACGACACCGTTGTGAAAACCCCAATTAAAGTGCATCTTATCCGAAGTAACTTCGTTATTTGAATT